GATTCAGAACTCACTGCTTGCTATTGCTGCTGTTCGAACTGCTAGTCCCCCACTAGTACTGGTATTAACTTGATTTGGTGAGAAGGGGGGATGACTTAAGGCCTATTTTAGAATTAACATCTGGATGGAGGATTTGGCTAACAGTTTGTGCAGATATGTGATAAAACTGCCAAGATAAGGGTTTGCTAGAGGATCAGACACTTCATAGCTTGTGTAAGCTGTTTATTGCATACACCAAGGGCTATGTTTACACTGGCCAGTTCGTGTGCAAGAAATATGCAAATGAGGCTAAGCATGAATATCCCCAAGCCTCATTTGCATACCTGAGCTGCCATTTTTGCGGAAGAGGCTTTTGCGCCAGGAGTTGTCTACGCTTCCCCTTCTTGCGCAACCCCCCCCCTTGTGCAATGACATTCTTCCTGAAAATAAGCAGTATAACAGCATTGTGCAAGAGGGGGTTTTCTGTGCAAGAAGGGGCAGTGTAGACAGCTCCTTCTGGTGCAAAAGCCTCTTCCGCAAAAATGGCAGCTCAGGTATGCAAATGAGGCTTGGTGATATTCATGCTTAGCCTCATTTGCATATTTCTTGCACAAGAACCGGCCAACGTAAACAGCCAAGGAGTTCTTGCATTTCTCCTGTTTTCTACTAGCTCCTTGTGTGCCACCTTCCTATACCCCTCTCTTTCAGTGACTTACTGCAGTTCCCCCAATTTCTTCCTTATGAGGGTCTCTGTGTGGTCATCTTTCCATACCACTCTTCCTCTTGTCATCAGCTTTGTGTGCAATCTCCTCCCCTGCCTGATCTTTGAATGCTAGAACAGTCTCTACCAAAGATGGCCAGTAGGTGTCAAAATTGTTCCATGAAAACAATGGTTAGGCAGGCACAAAGATAGGAAGGGAGTTGAACTACAGGCTTGCTTAACTCTGCTGCTGCTGCCATGCAGTTGGGGAGTGTGGCTCTGCAATTCATGTTGACTAGCATGGCTGTGCTTATGCTTCCAAAGGAGTTTTTCCAGGTATGCAAATTTCAGTGTCTCATCTTCAGCTGTGTGCTGCCAGGCCTTTCTGATGCTTTCTGACCTTGTAAAGCTCTGTTGGAGAAATATTTCTTAAGCAGGCCTCTCACTGGTTTTAATCTACAGCTCCTGTCCTGCTGCTCTTTAAGGACAGAGTAGCTTGGCATATTGAAGCTTCATTCTCCGACACCCTCTGCACTCTGTGAAATGGCAGATATGAACTGCAGGCTTTATAAAAATCTTTAAATCTCCTCCTTTGGGGCTTATTCATCCAACAATAAATATAAAGACCTAACATTGGTGGTGGAATATGTAGATAAGAAATGGGGAAGAAAAAAATGCCTTACTGGAGTTGTAGGGGAAGGAACGAGCAGAAGTAAAGTGAGTGGGGTTTGGGAGAACTCTGTGAATATATGCTTGTTAGCCCTGAAAAAAATCGTGTAGCAAACCTATTATTGCTGCTGCTGCTGCTGCCAGTAAAACATTTGAAAACTGAACATGAAAAATGTTGAGGTATGGCCAAGGCCAGTGTTTTCCAAACTACGGGTTACGACCCAGTACCGGGTCATGGAATGTTGGGCACTGCGTCTCCTTGCTGCAGGAGGATCAGATGACCAATGGGGGTGCTAGGGCAGGCTACCTCCCTGACCTGGCACTGCGCTGTACCTCAAAAGTAGCCAGCAGCAGGCCTGGCTCCTATAGTGGTAGGGGGAGCGCACAGGGCTCCACACACTGCCCCTGGCCTGGGAACCTGCTGTTGGCTGCTTCTGGAGTGCAGAATGGTCTGCAGAGCCAGTAGAGGCAACAAGCCTGCCTTGTCACCCCTGGTCGGGAGCCAGTTGAAGTGAGCCCCTCCTGCCCTGCTCTGAGCCCCCTCTTACCTTCCAAGCTCTCATCCTCAGCCCGATGCTGAAGCCCCGACACTTGTCAAATTATGTTGGGCCGCAGGCATCAACAATTTTCTTCATCGGGGTCATGAAAAAAAAAGTTTGAAAACCATTGAGCTAGGCTGAGGCAGGGGAATTCTGGCATTTGTGCAATCTCAGTTAGGGATGTAAGGGAGTAGTTGACTATCCAATAAGCATATGCTTATTTGTTATGCTTAAATGAAGCACATGAGATCTTTTATAGGGGAAAAGGCAGTATGTTGCATTTATTGAGAATACAACAGTTGCATATGCTTTTCAATCACACACACACACGCACACACACACACACACACACACACACACACACACACCGGCCTGAGCCATTTTGGTGGCCTGGGTGTGTGGTGCTGCTCCCGGGCGCACATTGCATGTGTGGGCCCACCCCACCCCAGGGTGCGTGGGCCCACCCCCGGGATGCATGCCTGGCCCAGCCACCGCGTGCAGCCTGGGCCCACCCCCGGCGCGCACATGCTGCCCAGCCCCGCCCGGCTACCGCTGCTGGTGCACACACCGGCCTGAGCCATTTTGGTGGCCTGGGTGTGTGGTGCTGCTCCCGGGCGCACATTGCATGTGTGGGCCCACCCCACCCCAGGGTGCGTGGGCCCACCCCCGGGATGCATGCCTGGCCCAGCCACCGCGTGCAGCCTGGGCCCACCCCCGGCGCGCACATGCTGCCCAGCCCCGCCCGGCTACCGCTGCTGGTGCACACACCG